TACTATACACAGGAACACATTTGTTCAGATACTTTCTCAAAAGTTGAGTTTTCGGGAAAATGTTTTAAGTTGCCAGTTTGAAGCGAGTTAATAGGCTCGAAACCGGTCCTGGGGGTGCCTGAGGTTGGCGCATTCCGAAATCTGCACTTGCCTATTTTTAAAGCCACGACGGCTCTTCTAATGCCGAAAGCCTTTCATTGTTCAATCTGATATTTTCCAAAAAACAGGGTTTCTTCAAACATTAATTTTTCTTGCTGCAAAGATTAACTCCCTAGTATTATCAACGTGTTACAATGACATCTATAGCGGTAAGAGCAAACTTACCTCGTTTTTTTTAAGATTGACCTGCTGGAGTCGATCGAGGCAACATTCTTGCGAATTGCCCTTTATCGGGTTGATCTTTCTAGCAAAATATACGAAATTGATTCGCAGTTTATTATGTGCTAAAAAGAGAAATGGGACCTAAGCCCTAGTTAAAAGTGTTTCTCAGTATCGATCTATTCGGGAAAAATACCCCGGTTTTTGCCGAACTTTCCCAAAAATGTATTTTTGTTTCACGAAACTTTGTCGTCTTTCCTGCTATGAAAACAGCAATCTTGAAATTACTTGAATTATTTGATTTACTTGGGACAAAAATCATTGAAATTTGACTATTTTGCGGGTCAATAATTGGCAAATTTAAATTTGCTTTCCAAAAACTAATGATTTTGTTGGTGCTCGTGCCTCAATGTTCAGCCATCCACAATTTGCGATTCATTTTTTTCAAATTTTACTATGCACCCACCATATTCAACCGATTAAAAAAAATTGTTTGATCACCTAATTTGAACACGTTGGGCATCTGTTTCGATCGCCCGGAAATCCAGTTTACATGAAAATTTTGACAAATAATAACACCGCTAAGAAGTTTGTACAATTTACGAAATTCAACAATCCTTCGCCTCACCACTCACGTTTTTGCACCGGTTTTAATGCAAATTCTACACTTTGAACTGGAAATTTTCACTACCGTGTAGTTCACCACTCTCTCAAGAACATTCTTGCGTTCTGGACAAAATTGTGGCTTTTTGCTATCAATTGCGGATGTTCCCGATCAACTCAACATCCGCCCATAGCTTTGCTGGAAAAGACTGCGCCAAATAACTTCCCCCACGAAAGGAAATAAAATTCATTTATTTAAATCATACATTTGTTAATTACAAAAGTAGTCACTTAGAGATGCACCATAAGAGCTAACCATATCAACAATTCACAAAACACCGACAAAATACATTTGCAATCAATTTTGAAAAGCAAATTTCCCTGGCCAATCTGGAACAGAAGCCTGAAGCGTTTCCAATATCTAAATTAGGTGAAGAAGATCGGCGTGGATCTCCTGGATGGAACTGGCAAGCTCAAAGTCCGGACGTAAGCTTCTGTTGGGAAAATCGCAAAAACTACAGCAGCGACGTGTTTAAACTTTCGACTTAACTTTAAAATATAAACATTGATTTTTTATACAATCACACCTTATGTACAGGGCAGAATTAAAGTACATAATTATGTCGAACTAGTTGGGCCGTACAGCCCTAACAGCTTGAATGAATGCGGCAATATGTATAAAAGCACATGGACAAGCGGTGGAATGACTTAAACCAGCTGGAATGATTAAGGTAAAGTGAGAAACTCGTCATTTACAGTCGAAAAACAGACGTGGAAGCATCAAAGCGTTTTCCGCATGATATAACGAGCCACAATATCTTCAGCAGAACAACAGCAATGCGAAAAATGTTGAACTGGAATTTGCATATGCTTATGTGGTAATTTTTTTCAAATAACTAGCACAACGGCGGAAAATTTTCGGCTTTATAATGATTTTGCTTTAAGCGATAGCGATTTTAGACTAATTATTTCCTCGAAAAGTTATCGCTACTAGGCATCATCATTTTAGAACAACTCGTATAAAACATATAAATAGGGTGTTCCCTAAATATGTTAAAATATTTTTGCCGCGTGTTCTTCTAGTCATTTTTTTTAATTTGAGGTTTCGATGTTCAGATATATCGTTTTCTTTGCCGTTCTCAACATGCGTAAGTAATTAAGTTAATTTTTTAAATCCAGTAACGTCTTCATATAATAATTTTGGTACGCATCATTAGTTGATTATTAATAACCTAAATTAGTTTTCTAAATTGTGTATTTAGATTCAGATTACAATTATTAAGTTTGAATAAATTTTACTTAAATAGTAACATGGTAACAATATGCGCAACGATATAAGCAAACAAAATTAAATTTAAATAATCATTCTAAAGTCAACTTAGCAGCTTTTAAGATTGGTTTAAGAACCTTGACATTCTTGGCATAATCGCAGTCTTTTAATGAACCCAAAATTTACAGACCGTAAAGTTTGCACTGAAGTTCTTATTTCTTTAGAAATATTAAATATTCTTTCCTGAAGTTCTTTGATTGCATTCACTTCTGTTGAATACACCGTATTTTTTAAATGGCCCCAGACGTAAAAATCAAGCGCGTTTAGATCGGGAGATCTGGGAGGCGAGCTTATAGCAGCTTCTTGACCTCTTCCAATCTAACGGCTTGGAAAGTTTTGATCAAGCCGAAACGATTTAATTTTTTGCGGGCAAACTAGTGCCTTTAGCAACAAACAATAAGGGATAAAAAAAGTTGATAAATAACTAGTAGTAATTAAAAAATATGTTAATAAAAGTTTAGGTGCACACAAAACAGTTCTGAACAAAACAAATGCAGGGGTTCCACATGTCTACCCTGTATAAAAGTAAACTGAACTGCCAAACACTACCATAGAATGGCACTCAATTAGCTTATAATGTGTACCAAAATTGAAGTTTCTATGTTTAAGCGTTTTAAATCTCAACAACAAAACCTCAAATTAAAAAAAATCTTAGCGGAAACCCCCTCTAAAATGACTAGGAGAACACGCTGTTAAAATATTTTAACATATTTACGGAACACCCTGTAGACAGATTTTCTTTTGAATTCAGCAGTCGCGCCATCGATGTGCTAATTACTGTTCCTTAAATTCTCCATCCATTAATTATTGTATATTATTACTTAAAATTTCTTATTATATCTATAACACCTATCTTAACAATATAACTAGTTTCCAATTAGATTCAGTCCATCTATATAATTTTCCCGAAGGCAAGATAAATTGTTTGTATTTTATAATTTTCCATCAAGAGGATAAATATTTGTTAAATAGCTTAACTTTCAATAGAAGTGGTACATTGTTATTTTTTATGTTAATTTGTTCAGGGATGATAACTAACCGAGTAAATTAGATTTCGTTTGGTCAAATACAGCATATAATGTATATTAATTGCTACTAACAAAGCCTAATACGTGTCTTGTTAAGCAATTAATTATAATGTATTTTTTACTTAGTTTACTTTAGCAGCACCAAGAACTTCCAGATGATTTAACGATGATTACTTTATAAAACTTTGATTTGGAAGTTCAATTTAACAGTTGTGCTTGCTGGGTTCCATTTCACTTTCATACTTTCAATCGTCCTCAATGCTACTAGAGTGCAGTCTTGGAAAAAAATTTAGCTTCTTCACGTGCATAAAGTAGCTAGTTTACTAGACAGTATTCTCGTATATGATGAGGCCTTTGACGAACATTCACGATAATCACGATAGTTTATTTACAAAATATTGGAACATTTTGCAACTTAAAAGTACCTACTCTAAACCAACCACGCCCCATACGTTTACCCTGCTCGTTTAAAACGCTGCACTGAATGAAGTTATTGAACATTTCGACTCGTTAAATTGACGCGTTTAAAAAATGCAGCTTCGCCCACTAACTAATCGCCCTGCAGTACAGAAAAAATGCCTAAAATCAGTTTTGAGTTTGTCCAACCCGCATCAGTGCAAATGGGGCTCGGGCAATTACTCGGCCAAAAGTCGGGCGAACAGGACGGCCAATGCGGCTCCAATCAGCGATGCTGTGTTAAGGCTCGAGCTGCTAACCACAATGTCGCCTTTCTTCAAAAATGGCATATCGATCACGTGGATGATCCCATTGGTGCATTCGACATTCGGGCGGAACACCGGAATACGCAGTTCTTCCCAGTGGATTACGTACGCTATAAAAGAGAAGATCATTAAATTATGCACTATTGACTCAACTAGCGATTTTCTATGTCTGGTTCTGTTTCCTCTGCACGTTTTGCCAACGCGAGCGATTTGCAGCTTCTTCCCAAGGCATAAAATCACCTCAGACTGAAGTTGCAAACCACTCTAGCTAGCGAAACGTCCGGAAACATTCAATTAATCCCCGAACAAACAGTGGAATCTTCTTTAACCGGCTACAGTCTAAGCAAAATTGTACGCCACTGTGTTGCAAAATTCTCATTATAGTACAGAGGGCTCGGTTCATCAGCGCTTATTTACAAGAATGGGCAATTGCAGCGGGAAAAAGCAAAAACTAGTGGTTGTCAGCACAAATACGTGTACATACCTGAGCCAAAATTGCGTTGTAAACCTAAAATAATAAGTCGGTATAAAAATACAAAGTGGTGTGTTAAAAGCGTATCGCTGTTTGAATTAAAGGAAAGCCAAGTCAAGCTGAAAATAATTAACTGAATAAATGAAACGGTCATTTCGGTGTTAATAATGTGGGTGATAGTCTTGGTGCTTGAAACGTGAAGTACTGATGAGTTTCTCAATTTCAGTTTCTTAGTCGATAAGTGATTGGAAAAAAGTTTAAAACTTGTAGGTAATCACCTCAAGCTTAACAAATTCAAAGTTAAACTGTCTGAATTGAACATTTGAAAAGTGAACTACCACAGAAAACATTATTCGCCTCCAACCCGGTTAAACTGTTTACCAAAAATTTGGCTGGCGCAAAAAGCTTAAGCATAATTGAATTGAAGCTTCTACCAAAAACGACCCAAACCAGTACTGAAATTGAGATTTAAAAGCGTATAAAGGCAGGCACATCGTATCCTCTCCCTGCACACAAACATACAACTTACTTGAGTTTTTACCAGTTTCTTAAGTTGATTGAGGAGTGGAATGGAAGTAAACA